TATATGTCACCAAGATTCCATATACGTGCTCTCCAGTTGGTACAAGTTACCCTTGAAGAGACAAACACTGACTGAGAACACAACAAGACTTCATCCAGCAATTGAAATGGTTGTTCTGGAGAATTTTTTTTGCATTTTATGATCCTATTGCATGATAAATGTTATTCAGAAAACATAATACCTTGTGTCACAGATCAGCAGAGAAGGAAGATTACTCCATTCCAACTGCTCAATGATCCATACAGCTGTAGGAATGAGAAGATCCTGTAATAAGACTTACAGGCACCAGATATTAGGTTTACAGTCCCCCACCTCAATTCCCACAGGCAGATATTCAGAAACATAAGTTGCACTTTGACCTTTAATATTGTCCTTAGCGTCCTTGAGTTACAAAACCCTAATGCACACTTCAATTTCATCTGTCTAGCATTATTATAATTTATGGCTAAACATCTCTGGGTTTTCTCCCTCAATACCAGTCTAGAATTACTCTCACAACATTGCTAAGTTTGGTCAGTTCCAATTCTTGTTTCGTTTTGTCCATTACATCATTGGATCACGTTAACTTCGAACCACATAGCTGCTTATACACAAGGAAGATAAGTGTCTTCACAAGCTATATAACATGGAATCCAATTGAGATCATCTAATATGACTGCACCAAGATATCTTAACCCCTCCTTCACATACTGCTACCCTGAGTTTCTACTCACCATGTGTTCTATAACCAAACTCACTGAAAATGAGCTTATTTTCCAACTGAGCAGAACCAGTATTCATTCTGCCTGCATCTAGCCCAGCTCAGAATATGACATCTACTCTTTCCTTCTAGTGTTTTCCTCAGGCCACCTTAGTCCAGACTGTCTTGTTTGTGAGTCTGGAGCATAGTTCTATACAAGTTCTGCATTGACAAGGAAAATGAACTGCATTAATTACATGGACTTGAAATATGGGTCTGTGCAAGACTAGATAGACTTCACTAAAAGTCATTGCAGATGCAAGAGATGCTCAAGGTTTAGAGACTACCAAGTCACTTTCTTCACAGCACATTTTCTGCAGCATTCTGCAGCCTAGGAGGCATTATGTATAGGGGTTTCAGGTGAGAATAACATTAGGCATTGTACAGGGCCTACTTCCATGTCTGCTTTCACATAGCTACTGTATGCACAGCTGCACCAGTGCTTGACTCATTTACAATTGCTATGGAGAGAATGAAGCCTGAAGAATTACTACATCCTCCAGTTGCAGCAAGATCTCACAGAACTGAATATCCTTTTGTGAACTTAAGAGGGAAATACAGCAACTATAGAAATCCGTGCCTAGTGACTGGTAGAAAACATGAAATATCTGTTAGAGTTCAGGTATCAACCTTCATTGTCTTAGGCTGATAAGTATAACCCCCTTCATAATGAACCTCCTTAACTGAAGAGAGGAAATTGCATCCCTCTCCTTTCAAGCCGTTCAATTTTAAAACTCACATACTTTTTTTTTTAAATGGTGTTTGCAATCCAAAAATGGACTTAAATAGCATTAAGCCACAAATCACATTTTTTGAGCAACATTGTTTTGCACAAATTTATATAAATTGGTCTGCCCCCCAACAGTGGAACTTTTGCCTTTGGTAATTGTTCTGCATTTAAGTCAGCTACTAATCAAAACAACACAGTAGTGAGGAATTCTCTGACACTGTGAAGAAGAGCTCAAACACCCACTTCTTCCACGTACTTCTGCTTGGCAACACTTCTTGCAGAAAGAAGCAGTAGTATATGAAGATTTGTGAAGCCAATAGGAAATGACCAAAAGCTTTTCATTCAGGCTTCAGCCCAAGGTAAACAATTAATTTTTAGTCCTTAACATTTTTAGTCCTTTTTTCTCATCACTTTATTCTCTTTTTCTGCCAAATTATGGATCTGTGGATCCTAATATGGTATAGAAACTTTTAACTGCCCCAAGCAACTCTCTCATCATGAGACTTTCATCCCAGAGCTGTAGGATTGGTGGCTGAAGTTGATTTTGGTCAAGCACTTTTTAAAGATATTTCTATTAAAATATTTACAGCAAGGATTTCTTGAAACTACAACTTGGTGAACAACGTTATGTGCTCATGTCATTGGATAGCTGTGTTTTAGCCATTTATGTGCATGTAGTCAAACATACACACTTACTATTTTGATTTGTTTTCCAAACTTGCAAGGCAACATCCACCTCTGAGAAAGTTTAGTCTTGCGCTAAACTTGCAGTCCCACTTTTCTCTATGCCTTCCAAGCCTGCTGCATGGGCAGTAACAGGAAGAGAGAAGCACACTGCAAGAACAAAGTAGAAAATCATGTAATATAAAGTGTATTACTCTAACTAGAGATTCCCTTGGGCAAATGATTCAGGGCTCCTGAAGCTGGAATGGGAAACTGTACTAAAGCACATTTTATTAATGAATACCCAATTCCCCCTCCTCCCGTTGGTAAAGACTGAACGCAGACAGATGAAAATAAAGACAAAGGCAATGATGCCTTTCACCTACCCTAGAAGCAGAGGTGGCTTGTCCAGCAGGAACACAGTGCCATCTAGTGAGCCTTCCCCGAAGGAGGAAAAAAACACAGCAGGAAATCATACCTCGAGATAAGAAAACCCTATATTATATCTTGGGATAGTGGGGAAAGTCTGGCAGGCAGCCTGTTCCCATTGCGGGCTATGGGTCTTAGCAGGCAGCAACCACCAGGAGTTTTGGGATGAAAGCCATCACCCCTCTACTACCCACTGCGGAGGGGGTATCAAGGAAGAACATCAGGCCTCAGTGCCTGGCCCGGGCAAGCTGGAGGGGAGCAAAACTTATCATCAGCTTGCCAGCTTCTGGCAAGACAGCAGGTAAGGACACTTATATGGCCTTGGGGACCCTTAAAAAATAAGGGAGGGGAGGGGAGAGGAGGGATGAGGGGAGGAGAAGGCCGAGGCGGGGGGCGGGGGGGCCGGCAAAGGGAAACAAAATAAAGCAGTGCAGCTTCACAAATGTAGCTGAGGTTCACTTTTCCAGCACTTTGCTTCCCAGGGTTTAATTAGCTGCTGCAGCACTAAATAACATCTCCCAGGAGGCTGCAGTACATCAGAGCTGCTGCATGAGTGAATGTGGAGGAAAGCTGCAGCTCAGCACCAGAACCAGTATTGCCATCCCAAAACAATCAGTGGGACCCTTGTCCCTCACCACTTCTCCCCTGCTGCCTCTGGGCTGCCAGCTGGGGTGGAAGGCATGAATTTTTTCAGCAAGTGGCAACTCAGTTCTTACCCTTTACCTCCTAGACCTTGGTGCTCATTTCATTTGTGGACTCAGAATTTTTTCTGACCAGTCATGAAAAAAATTTTTAAAATTTAAAAAAATACCAACAAAAAAGCAGCAGCGACTCAGAAGTTACTGGATGATCCTAAAGTCCTAGAGAATAATAACAAATATTGCCGATTATCCTCGTGTTTGTCATCAGCTTTACAATACTGAAGCATACCTGCCTCAACTAATTATAAGAGGTATTGTATTCCAAAATATCTGTTCTACAAATGTAGAAAACTCCAAAATGGGAAGAAATTCTCTTTTTTTAATGTAAAGTAAAAGCAGAATTATTCAGCATAGATGACTTTATGAAAAAACTGATCTTTTGGTGCTGATGGTAACTCAAAAGCTGATTTTCATCTGTCCTTACAGGTGAAACTGTACAACACATACAGTTCAGCACATGGCCAACCCATTTTGTCAGCAGATGTTGGTGGGGACTACAACTCTCCCCTCATCAGTAAATTGTTATTACCAACCGAGAAGAAGATGAGTAAGGTTTGACAATACCAAATCTGGGATTGCCACCATAGTCTGCATTGAATCTATGTTTCCCTTGGCACTGGAGCACTGCACAGGTTTCACATATGAATGCACTCCTTGGCCGATCCAGTTCCTGCTCCAAGGTACAACCCAGAGGAAGTAAGTCATACTCTTTCTTTTCCCTTGTTCCCCGTTCTTTCACAAAGATAGTCCATGGCTCCTTAGAAGGACAAGAACAGGATGTTCAAGGATGCAAGTATCCCTATAGCACAGCAGACAAGGTTTGTTTTGCGTGTGTATGTGACAGTGAGTTTTGGTTTGTTTTGTCTGGGTTAAAGCGCATTAATCTTGAAATTGAAGTAAGTAACCTTCCACAAATACTGTGAGGACTATCAGCAAAGAAAGTAGACAAATTCCAAGGTTGAAGTTTCTAACATAGACTTCAGCTTTGCATGCATGCTTTGATATCTTTTATCTCAAGGCAAGTCTGTCTTGATATTGTCATCCTTTACAGGCAGGAAAAATGAGGACCAGAATGAAGAAACAGCCAGCCAAGGGAATAAGATAACCAAATAGCAACCAAGGCACCGAAGTCCTAATCTGGTTCGAAGGCTAAAAGACAGCTGTACTTGCCATGGCAAATAAGTTGTTCCACCAGCAAAGCAGGAGTAGTTACCTGATACTTATACAGATAATCTGATATACTGTATACATCTAATATATATAAAATAACAGCTTGAGTGAAAAACATGCCTTTAACCAGGGTGTTCCTACCTACTTGAAATTCAAGAAATATGTAACTAGATCTTCCCTGTGGGTTTCCTGTGAATAACAGAGGATGCTGAGAGCTGGTCCTACCAGTCACTGAATCCCACAAAGATGTACTTAGCATGCAACCTGCACTTGAAGGGAAGTACTGCCAGCCCTATAGAATCAGAGACTGCAGCAGGTTCGGATGCAATCAGGATCAGAACAGGATTGTTTATTTTTGCTCAGTTGTTCTGAATGTACCATTTGAAATTGCAATGATAAAGTCATAAGTTCAAAAATAGCACCATAAAACCAAAATGGGTAACAGAAATACCCTGATAACAGAACAGAAACTGAAAATCAATGTATAAAGTGTATATAATATCCATATTCTTCACGATTCACATCAGAAAGAGTTCGTTTTTATGTTTGGAGATAAAAATTAATGGGAGAGCACTAAAATACTCAATACTGGAGAAAATGTAATACCTCTCAAAACTATTGAGGACATTCCAGAAAACTAGCAGTACCTTTCTTTATCACCTTAATAGCCATGTTTCAAATTAAAAGTCAAAGCATTGAAGTTAAGCATTACTAAGACATGCTAATACAGCACCATTGTAAATGAAAGAGGAAAGATTCCCTATAAACTTAAAAGCTAGATCCTCAGACTTTTCTCAAAGCCCAGGGAAATATTCCAGGAAGGTTAATGCTTTTTTATTTTTTTTGTCTGAATGAGGATTCCAGGATTAACCCCACAGCATGGATGAGAGGAGAATCTCCAGGGAAACAGGGAAATTCTCATTGTAAAGGGAGTGCTGGTAAGGAAGGAATGTATTTTTGAAAGGATTAGCAGTAACTGTTATCCCACATTATTTTAGCGAGAAATGAAAACATCTCAGGACAAATAAAATTGCTAATGCATAACCAGGTAGGAACTAGCACACATTTGTGTTTGATCTCATTTTTACTCACTGATGCAACATTAATTTTATCCCATTACTAAACATTTTTCCATTGAACTGCAAATTCTTTCTGGAAAACTATAGTTTGTATACTGGGCCTTAATAACTGCATGGTCACAAGGTATCTAGAAGATCTTTTGAGAACAAGGGGGAAAAGGCTTCTCAAACAACAAAAAAATGGACCCTAAAGGCTGAAATATTTCAGATCAAATCTTTATTCAGCATTGTCATGTAATCATCATAAAGAAAAATATCATACCAAGTAACTACAGACTGGATTACATGAGCTACACAAAGTCATCCTTTGCCCTATTCTATTCTGGTAAGCTCCCACTTGGATGGTGGCAGCCAGGATTATGTGTAACCTTCATGAAGGGTGTGAAAAATTGCAGCTGAAAGCTGCATACATGGAATCAAATTACAAGTACAGCCCAACTTCACACACACTAGTATAAATCAGGAGGTACTAGGCTAAAGGCAGTGGAATTATGCTGCTGTAAAGACCATGAAAATGATGTGCAAGATCCTTAATCTAATCAATTTTAATGTAACACATGGTAATGTCAAGATTTATTTTGAGCACATTAGTTTTTTTGTTCTGTTCTCTTCAGGATTTTGTAACGAAAACAGTATCACCACTTCATTATTTTGGCACCTGAGAAGTGTAAGAGGATGGAAAATAATATTAGCCACAAGGAAAAGAAGTTGATTTGATGCCCCTAAATCGTTATTTATGCTCAGAGGTGAAAGGTTTGGAGATCTATATAATTGCTTAATAAAATAGTTTCTCTGACTTCTGCAGCTAACAGTTCTACATCATTTTCTTTTTTTAACTGGCTAATTTTGTACATGGTAAGTGTATTAATTATGAACAGAACTAAAGGGCTAATCTAAATCTTTGATCTTTTCTGTGCCCCAGTTTCCCATTTGTAACACAGAGATCACATTTTTCTCACCCCAGAAGTCTGCTGGGTGATTAGTTCATTAACATTTGTAGGGTGCTTTGCATATCCTCAAGTTATTAAATTAGATCATAGCTGATACTCCAATCCTTATTTTAGAAATTAATTTCCACATATTGGACTTCTGATAGGAAAAAAAATTACTCAGAAAACAGGGTTTTATTTCTAGATAAGCATATTCATCCAGCACAACTGTCCGTACTGAAATCCAGCAATATTTCTCCCAGAAGTCTCAGCAGGAACAGGATCAGCTCCCACTTTCTCTCCTTGTCTCTGGGTTGCCTAACTCTTACCAACACAACAGACACCTTCCAATACGTACCTTTATTGCTGCACTTGCATCCTATCTTGAGGGAAATTGCTCACCCAACACTTTCCAAAAAGCCAGGCTGCCCGTTTGTACATCTCTTGACATCTTTTTTTCCGTACAGGAGCATTTAGACATTTCTAAGGCGGGCAGTAGACCAGCTTTAAGTCAATTTACATATTGAGAAGGACCTTCTATTGCCCTCTACCCAAGGGAAAATGAAAATGCACAGGCTACCACTCTGCGTAAGTGTTACAGAGTACTACACTTGGAAGTGCCTACATTTAACACTTTTAGAAGAAACAGTGGTATTTTCCTGTTCAATCCACTTTTGAAGAAAAACGTTGGATCCAGGTGAACAGAGCAGGAAAAAGATAAGCCAGGAACTAATAAAGAAATGCTTATTCAGCTCAGCATGAAGACAAGGCCAAGATGAACTGAGACTTCTGAAGTAATAGACAATGAAATCCTAGGCTCAAATAATGAACAAATTAACTGGTAATATTTGCTTGTATGTAAGTACCCTGTGTACTAGGAAAAAGGTATTTGAAAATGTGAGGCAATGACCACTAATTCATCAAGGCCATCTGGGCAGGGTTTCATCATTTTCAAACTATCAATGGCTTAAAGCCAGGACAACATTACTTATCATGATTACATTATTCATATGCCCAAAGTTGATAAGGACGAACAAAGAAGACTTTTCTATGAAAACAACTGTTATGCTCTTTCTTGAATTGTGCAATATTTCACTATTTTTCATATAATGTATGGCAACTGTGGCTTTACATTTGTATTCTAGCACGTCTCCTGATATCCTACTGTTTCTATATGCAATACCAAAAGAAGCAATCATTAACTTCAGGATATTATTTTATATGCCAGATTATGACTGTCATTCTTTATTGGCACAGACTATTGAAGAGGCACCTCAACTCAGTGAAATTGAAGATTTTGTCTTAAGGCATAATAGTATCTCTGAGACTTCACTGTTTGACTCCAATGAGATATTTAGGCACATACTTGAATTAAAACATTCAAACTTTCCTCTGAGGTCAGTCAGAATATTGTTCAGAAATAAATTTGTGGTTAACTCAGTATACAAACTTATTTTCCTAATACAATATAGCTGCTATGGCAACAATCAGTAGCGCAGTGCTCCTGGTGAAAGGCAGTGTGCTTTGATTGTTAAATGAAGACTCAAAGCTTCAGAATTAAGTTGTTTTAGTAAGAGCTAATGCTCCTTCTGTTTGCTCAGCAAACTGCACCGAGTCTTTATTAGCTCTGATAAGCAGCACAAAAGCAGTGAGTCTACAGCATGCTCTAACAAACAGCTTAGCACTGCAGAATAAACAAGAGATTGCCTTCCTGTACACTAGCCCAAAGATGACACAATGGGGCAGATACTTATGATACAAATCTACCATCTTTACCTTGGTAAGGAAATCTCATCCCCTTTGAAACTTAACACCTAATAGACTGTATTGTGCAAATGTTAATGACAATCAGGTTATCTAATTCATCCTTATAAGCCTATAGTTTACTGCATGTGCACAACATGAATTCAGTTTCTATCAGAGCCCTGTGGAACAAAAATAGCATCATCTTGTCCAATGAAACCAGAGAAGTAACCTCAGCTAGCCAGAAGAAAAAAAAAAAAATAGGTATGTGGGAAAGAATAAATGAAAAATACTGTTGAATAGGAGAGAAGAAGTTATTGTCTGGCTTGAATGTCACTGGCAAGCTTACATCATACAAAGATTATTTCACTGTATTCAGAAATCTCAGCCTTTCTAAATTGCTTCCTTCAGAAATGCTCAAATTCCAGAAATGCTACATTTTTCTGGAATTTGGAAGGAAAACTCTTCCTCAGTAGAGTGTCTCTATTACTGAGCTGGAGTGTGTTTGGGCTTTTGCACTTTCCAACTATCTCATCCCTTTCAGTGACCATGCCTGGTAGAAGAGTATCAGATGTCTTTCCTTGACACCCAACAGCAAGAAATATACCAAGAGTATAGCTGGAAAAAATAGTATGCACTGTAAAGAGTCTTTTCCTAGGTGGATCAGTATTTTCTTCAGTGATTTCCATGTAGAAGAAAATATCCTTTTTAATAATATAAAATAAATAAGTAAAAAGACTGAACCATTTTAATAACTCTACTTCACAGTGGTTCCAAAACACCAGTTTAACTCTTCTGAACTAAGCTATCTTTGAAAGCCTTCAAATGGGCACACATGAGTGGAAAACTGTTTTAGCTCTGCTAACGAAACATACTCTTTTAAATCAATTTTAACTTGTAGTCTTCCTCTGTTTTCAGCAGATAAAATGTCTACTGCTTTTTCCCTACATTCCTCTTTCATACTGCTGTGCTTCTTTTACTTACAGTATATAAGCTTGCCTTTCTCCAGCCAATCTGTAAGCCTGATAGTCCAGAGTCCAATTCTATACTAGTGAAGTCTTATATGACTGTATCATATATCTTCCCCTGAAATGACACTAGTTTAATTCTCATCTCATCCAGGGGAGGCTGGGGTAAAAAAAAAAAAAAAAAAAAAAAAAAAGCCACCACATAATAAAATTATGATTTTTCACTTAGAGGTTACAGGCAATTTTCCGAAACTATGGTGTTTCAAATTATATCACATCTGGATCTGTTCTAAAACCAAACTAAAACTTCAGGGACATGGTCCCCCATGGAAGCAACTTTCCTGCTAGAGTTTCAGTACTTCTATTTCAAATTTGCAGAGGCAAATTAAAGGGTACAGGAATAACGTGATAAAAATCTAAGAAGAAAAGTTTTGGACACTAGAATATGGTTGAAGAAATTGTTGAGTTTTAGGTAACTATTTTAAATTTCTAATTATTTATGATTTTAAAACATTGTCTTTCACTGTCTTTAGCAGAGGACACTGATTCCAGTGGTCTGATGAAGATCAGTGGGATACGAGATGGAAACATGTATCTTCTCTTTATCCAGATAAAAATCAGAGAATTCTTTGCTTGGAAAACACCTTTGGTAGCAGCACAGGAAAGACTCAGAACATAATTTTTCATAGATCATGGGTTAAAGTTAAGGGGGCTCTCCAGCCATACACTTAGCACAGTTTAAATGGGCATATACAACCACAATGAAAACTTAGTGTTCCCTTTTGTTTTAACATTAACCATTAACATCAATCAACTTCTACAGAAGTAGCAGAACTGTTTCATCCCTTCTTTTTTTTTTTTTTTTGTATAAACACTATATTTATACACATGTAAATTTGAACAAAGAAAATTGAATAAGAACAACATATAACTTAATACAAGACTGAAAGAAAATGATATCTTCCCTCTCCCAATAAGTTTTACTTAACTATCAACACATTTTGTTCAAGAAGTTTTCTCTTTGCAGTTCAACACTACCAAAATATCCCATAATCTTAGGTCTCCCCTCTCACTTACTTACTGCCAAAGAAGCTTATAAATATCAGAATATATGCTTGCTCAAGCAATAATCTGTAACACGCACAACACTGCAAATGCTTTTACAGGTAAAAATTTTTGTGGTGCTTGAGTGGTACCAAATGGTCTTAATTCTGCAAACTAAGGAAAAGTATTCCTTGAATAAACATCAATCAGGCAGAAAGAAAAATTCATTGCTGGTTCACAAATCTGTGAAAGTTGGGATGCAGAGGAGATCTCTGCTGGGGAGCTCCCCCTGCCTCCTCCCATCCCACACAAATCAGTCAGCTCTACGTGTCCTTCATGGCTGAATTTATATTTAGAAGTTAATAAAGAATAAAAAATAGCAAATCATACACTCACTCTGTTTTAGGGAAACCAATGTGCTAGTCAACGGAAGATATAAATAATCCAGTGACACAACAAAATGCCTCATCCGGTGGCTGCAGTACAAACTGCTGTCCAGTGGCCAGCAGATCTGCTGAATGTACTTCATTAATCTCTTTTCCAAAGCAATGGATTCTTTTTCTGGGAGCTAGCCCAGTTCACTGAGGAGTCATTTTTTCCCCCATCAGCTGAGATCAGTCACCAGCAAGTCATTGCTTTCAGTCTGGCCTGTATTCTTCACTTGTGGCTGAGGCTTTCTAATAGCGATGCTGTAGCTGGCCTGCAGGAAACACCTCCTATTCATAGTCTGGGCAGGGCAGAGGAAGAAGAGAGCAGGCAATCAGATACACAGTGATCGGAAAAGTGTGATCTTCCCTTCCCTTGATAATAACACCATTTTCTCCTTTCAGCTTTAACATTTCAAAAACCATTCAAGAAGTCACGCAAAGACCTACAGTCCTGCACTGTGGAAGCATGGTAACTCCCTGCTCCCAGATGCCTACTCCCTAAGCAAAACCTGTGGTCCTGAGTATACATTAATAGTCTAGAGAAACTGAACAAAACTACTCAGCACAGGAGAAGAGCCGGTCTGGATTCCTACTCTGACAACTGCAGAGATTTCTGTTAAAAAGTGCATTTATGTCCAGTTAGATATGTGCAGTCCTAGGAGCAAGAAAATCAGAGTTCTGTGCACTGAGCTCTACTGCTCTGTCACAGTTTACCTTTAGGAAACACGAGTAAATTAAAATTTTATCAGGGACATTCATACATTTTTTGTATAATTTTCTTTTAAGATATAAGTATAAAGTAGCAGTACTTCTAGGCACGCAAAGAAGGTTTGAGGGACCTGGAATACTTCGATGTTAAATGCAGAGAGGACAGTGAGCCTTTGGAGACTACAGGTTTACATGGTAGCTAAGCAGGTATTTGCAAAAGGTGATGTAAGAAGCTGCTAGAATTAACATCTTGCCTTGTCCATCTAAAGCCTTTGATGAGTATGAACCTGTGAGTCCATTCAGCTTCAAAAGTGCCAGCAGGCACAAAAGTCTAAGTCAGGGCATTAAAAGGAGTGCTTGCATCCTGGTTGGACCCTTTCTGTTCTACCCCAAAGAACATAGATGAGCCAGCATGGCAGCGTAAGCTAAGGAAACTCTGCCAAAAGGTACCATCTGTGGTTCAAACTCCTACCACCCCATACATGACTGAAGGTGGATGGGGACACAGTAAAATATGATGGGCTTGTAGGAAAGCAATATTCATATTTACTGGGTTTTATTACTGGATTATAGGATAAATGTGCTTATTATGAGACAGGCTTGTGTTCCCAGGGAGCCTCTCAATAGGGTAGAAAAAAATCAGGGATTTTGTTTACTTACAAGCTGCTACCTCTGAACTCTCAGAGGAGCTAAAGCAGCATGAAATGAGGCCCAGAGTATTCTGGAAAATTGCCAGATAGTGGGATTTGAGGAAAAGTACAAGTGTTTATACGCACACTTCAGTGGTTAACCACCATCACAAGTTCTAGCAAAAGATACAGTGTTTCAGGTGTTAAAGCAGTTTCCTTTTCAAAAAGTAGACTGCAAAGACCCTAGTACAATCATGCTGTATAGAATGATTGCCTGTGTGCCCATGTAATTCCTATCACAGTGACAAAAGAGATTTTCTTTTGCCTTCCCAAGTACCTCAGAGCTAGTCACAGGCTGCAGAGCCTTCTGTTGGCCATGCTACTGAAGCAGGCGTGGACCACAGCAGCGTCGTAAGCCAAAAACTGATGCTGTCTGGTGTCTTTCTCTAGAGTAAAACAAAGTGGATAAGGTAGACAACTGGTTCTTGGCAACAACACAACTGCTGGTGCTTTTCCTGGCAGTTTCTGTCCACACTGAGAATGAATTTCTTCTCTCCAGCCCTAGCATGGCAGAGAGGAGGCCCTGCAGTTGAAGTCATGGCCTGATCTGCCTCCATTTGCAGGAGAGCACATTCAGATCCCCCAGGATGTTAGCTTTGCCAGCATTTCTTTGTAACCACTCCACATCTTACTCAGAATTATGGGTGGAGGAAACATTTTACAATAGAAAGTACCACCCTAAAAATAGCATAGAGCAATACATCTTGAATTACACAGAACAAGAGCAGTGCCCCTTTGGAAACTGTAATTTCAAGGTAATCAGGGTGTTGTTGAGGAAGGAGTCTATGACCCTACTCACATTTCTTCTCAAGAACAGATGGGAACATATCACGAATAAGTTGCCACCAAGTAGAGCCACTCCTCATTCCCGTACTGCCACCTCTGCCTTACAACAATGGGACAAAGAGCAGTTGCGGCCACAGCCACCCAGTTTAAGGAGCTGACAGCCCTTTTATCACTGTGAACCTGTGACAGGGGGACAGTGGTGCCAAGAGGCAGAAATAGAACATTCCTTTTATCACACAAAGCAGAATGGGCTTTGTGCTGCACAATGAGGTGCCAAAAGGTCCACCAGCAGGATGGGGAGATTCCCCTCACCTCTTGCAAAGCTCATCACTTAGTTTTGACGTTTACAAGAAGTGCAGGGAAAGGTTTCTCATTTCCATGTTTGGCAATGTGACCCCCACCTCCCAGTTCAGGACACAGTATTTAGAAAGATTACCCTGCACTGAATATATCCTGAGGAAAGGCTGAAGAGCTGTGCTTTCTGGCCGTTGCCTGAAAACATGAACTGCATTAACCTTGTGGAAGCAAAGGGGAAAATGAGGCAGACATTGATCTTGCAAATACTGCCACCTTTAAGCAATACTTTGGTCACAACATCTAATGACTGTCTTTATACTTTTGTCCCCACTCACCTGCAGTGGAGAATTATCACTCAGTGAAGAGCTAAAAGCTGGAGCTGCAGATTTAATTTGTGCTCAGCCAAACTTCGTATAGTGATGATCGAAGGAAAAGTAATGAGAATAGGCTGAGTGCCTCCAGTTCTGTGGGGTCAGTCTGAGTTATGGGATTCTGTTCCTTCAATCATAGCAGCACTGTCCCTAGCAGTAGAGAGACATCCATTAATGTTGGAGGAAGACAAGACTGCAAAGTCCTCCCTAGAACTGGAGAATACTTTCCTCCTTTACACTTACCCATTAAAAATGTATAAATACAGATCAGTCTCCCATACATAGAAATAAGAGTTACTCTCATTCTTATCATTTCAAATGGAGGTCTTTTCCATTCTGTATGGTCTGCAGGCTCAGAAATGAAACCTCTATGTGTCAGGTAATCATGTGTGTAGCCAAGTCTCAGTGATCCATGTGGGCTGCTTCTGACGAGATATTGTGATTCTATCCTACTTTCAAAATATTACAAACTGCTCAGTGCCACCTACAAAAAGAAAACAGATTTCACACAAGGTCTGTGAAACACTGAGCAACTTCCAGGCCAGATAAGAGAGCACGATCCTGATTTGGCATGCCTAAATCTCCTGCTGTTCTAACCAGGAAGGGATTAGTCCACGCACAGTCACTGCTTTGAGGACAATCTCATTTCTTAAATTTAACCAGGAGAACAACTAAGTAGTGTAATACTATGAATTAGTCACCAAAATTATCTGACTTAGATTCAAGGAAAAGAGCTTTTTCAAAAGCAATCAAAATCTGACAGTATCCCTATGGCAGTTCTGTGAAGTATAAATCCAGCCCTTAGTGGCTGCTTCCTTAAGCAAAATAAACAGCACCACTAAAGGCATTGAAGTTCAACTGAAAATTCAATACACCTCAGAATATTGCTATGTTGCTGTGGATTTCAGAGATTTTTCTGTCCCAGGCCTGGAAGTAAGTCAGCTGTTACTTTTTCTCTGTATTCAGGTAATACTTTACTGTTGATTTGAACACTTTCAAAGGCAAAAATTACCAAAACCTGCAAAACCTTTATTTCCTTTTTTTTTTTTTTTTTTTTTTTTGTAATTTTTCTTCTGAGTTTCCTCACAGTCTAACTCTCACTACTCACTTAAATTCTGTCTTCTTTACATCTATGAATGCGCATAAATACTGTTACCTGTGCTTTATGGTTTTGAGGTACAAATAGACCTACAAGAACCACCTGTAGCAAAAAAAGAGCTACCCAGATAGAGCCTAAATTAAAGAAGTTTGTCCTCCCAATAATACACACCGAAAGCTTTCACTCTTGCTTTTCATATCTCAGCTCCACTTCAACTCATACATATCAGAGGCACAGCAACCAAGGTAACAACTCAGCCCTGAGTTCCAGCAGTGAGCATTTTCCAGGGTGCTTGGTGTCACATAAATCACATTACAACCAAAGGAAGAAATGAGCAGGATTACCTAAGATGGAATTCTTCAGCCTCCCCCTCCAAAGAGATCGTCTTCTCTGATGAGGCTACCCAAGCCCTTCAGGATAGGGCTGCACAAGGCAAAAAACCAGCCTTGCTAGCCTTTGAAGAGTATGTCTTGCAGGTATTAAATTATATTCTGTCTGTAAATTGCTTTGGCAGCAAACTGAAAAGTGCTTCACACTTCTAGATGTAAAATGTGCAAAGAGGCTTAATTAGCTAAATTTGATATACTGCTTTGAAGACGGGAAGTCCTCTGAATGAAGTTCAAAAAGCAGATAACCAGTATTCATCTTTTCTGGTATAAAAGCAGGTAGATGTTACAGAGAAAAAGTATGCCAGAAAAAAATATATAGTCCAATCATAGGATTATTCATCAAAGTTTTACTTGAAACCTCGGGGATTCTTTAGAAGCTGGTATTTCTGAGCTGTATCTCAGTTGGAGATGAGATTTCACTATGTATCGTTGACAGGCAATTCAAATGGGACATTAGAGTAAATACTGCTAGAACACAATGACATTTTCTTCCACATTCCAGTCTTACAATTTTGGTGTTTAAATATAGAATATTTCCAACTGCTTCCTCAGAAAGTGATCCTTTTTTCTGTCCAAGAGTATAAAAGCCCAGCTAAAAATGCTGTTTCTGAAGCACGACTATACTCATTAAATAATTTATATCAGTAACTAACACTAGTGAGAAATCATACCTTGTAGCAAAACAGCAAGAGAATTTAAATGCACTGCTCATTACCAAATATTAAGAGGAAGAGAAAGATTAAGTACAGGTTAAAAATAGACAGAAATGCACCCTCTTGCTGATTTTTTTTTAATATTGTATGGAACATTCTAACCTTCATGTCCAAACTCCATAAACTGCAGTAATTTAGCCAAACCTCACAAAGAGCTAGTGGAGATGTACTTTTCTGCTCAGTGATCAGAAACCATGTCCCTCAGGCAAAGTACAAGATATAATGATTAGCAAAGCATGTGCCTACCTTCCCTACCTCTTATTCCTACTGACCTGGTTCTGATCCCACCAGGGACAGAGATATTGATTAGGCCCTGGAAGGAAAAGAAAAGGGAATCATAGGGAGGAGGACTGAAGAACAGGACTGAAACATTAACTGATCACAAGTGAACATCAGTGTATGTCAGCTGAGAGGAATGTGACCTCCTCTGGCCCTTATTCTTAAAATAAGGGAAATGAATTATTTAGATGAGCTTTCAGTACTAAGCACTACAAATAAACAACACGTTGTGCTCTAAAGAGCTCACAAATCAAAACTATTTCTTTCGGGTTGTTCATGGAAAGAACTTGATCAGGAAGGCAAAGTCTCAGACCAGGGCAAGATTATCTTTAGAAGCACATGAATCAATCTACTCACCCTTCTTACCAAAGCACTACTGTACAAATGCTACATATCTAGAGGCTCATGCATACATACACATTTATTGTTTAAAAGCAAAGCAAAGGTTTCAAAGCATTTGAAAGAAAGCCATCTGAAGCTTCCCACAGGAATTAAGTGATTGAGAAGAATTACAGAGTACCAATAGAACAAATTCCTGTTAGAACAGTCGAAAAATGTGTGCATATGGCTGTTGCAGGATACTGTTTTTCACTCATGACATATGATTCAAGTCACAAATAAGTGGAAAAGACACACATGATGCTCAAAAGAAATCTGCACTGTGCATGTGAAGAAGCAGAGCTGACATCTGAGTACTGAGTTCCCATCTGGAGTACTGCATCCAAGTCTCGTGTCCCCAATACAAGAAAGGGAGCTGTTGGAGAGGGTCCATAAAAGGGCCACAGAGATGATTACAGGGCTGGAGCACCTCCCCTACAAAGACAGGCTGAGGGAGCTGGGCTTGTTCAGCCTGAAGAAAAGAAGGCTGGCTATGGGGTGACCTGATAGCAGCCTTTCAGTACCTAAAGGGAGCTTAAAACAGGAGGAGAGTCAACTCTTTGAAAGGGTAGATAATGGCAGGACAAGGGGAAATGGTTTTAAGTTGAGAAAGGGAAGATTTAGGTTGAATATTGGGGAGAAGTTCTTTACTACGAGAGTGATGAGGTGCTGGAACAGGCTGCACAAAGAGGTTGTGGATGCCCTGTCCTTGGAGGTGTTCAAGGTCAGGTTGGATGGGGCCCTGGGCAGCCTGGTCTAGAATTAAATACGGAGATTGGAGGCCCTGCCTGTGGTTGGGGGGTTGGAGCTTCATGATCCTTGAGGTCCGTTCCAACACAAGCATTCTATGATTCCATGATCTGAAAAAAATATTGTTAGCTTACTGAAGGAATATACTTATGGGCTACAAAACTATCCCTTCTCCTCCTCTCAGAGGTCTTGCAATTCTGGTAAGAAAACAGCACAGGAAGGAGACAACTTCCTAATCAAATTTCCACTACTATCTTATCATAGTTACTCAGTGTCCTCTACATGGCTCCAGTATCTCTGTGTAAAAAGGTTACTGAATACAGCCATTAAGAAGGACTGAAGTTATCTACCCTCAACTAACAAGTAGTCATGTGAAAACATGGATATTTCAGCACAAGAATCCCAAACAGAATCCAAGGTTTACATTCAGCTGTTTCTATCAACAAATATTTTGGCATTCCTCCTGAGTACAAAAGCTTGCGTTTTCAGCAGGTAAACACAATCACTCACTCAAGCCAAGTCACTACAGAGAAGTTCATTTTTAAAATTTAAGGCCAGATTAGGAAATGTTTTTTTTTTTAATTTCCGTTTTATTAAATAAACACTTGAAAATGTTATTTTGCAGCTGCAGAAAATGCTACTTCTGCCTGACTTTTGCATGGAGAGAGCCAAAACTGAAGAAAAAAACCAAATCTCTCTGTAGCAGAGGGTAGGCTGGCACTGTAATATGCAGTGTTCCCAAAGGAGAAGAAAATTCAATTACTAAAATGGCAGTATAATTTTTATGTTATTATTTTAGGAACTTGGAGTTAATTGAACAAGTTGAGCACTTTGTGAATGAATGTGCCCTTACTTCTCCATAGTAAATGGTCCGTAATTGCTTTCATTTCTCTGAAACCAGGAGATAGCTCTTCTTAGCCTTATTCTGATAGACGCCTTTTGCTCCCACGGGGACTTGCATAGGCCGCATCATTATAGTAATTGAGTGCTTCACAGTGCCTCTCATACACAGAGAAATGTTCTTCTTTCAACTTGCACATAACTTTGAAGAGCTCCACACGCCTACACATCTGCAGTGATGTTGCACAAGTACTTACATCTTATGCAGTTTAGCATCTCTCCATCTCTCTAAACAACATGCTCCTAAGAGGTCATAGCACATTCAAAGCTTAGGCAGCCTTGTGCTTCCTTCCATGGAAGCATTTATGCATTCTTGGAAATGATTAAGCCACCGCGTGCCAGAAAGAGACATCATTAGCCAGACTCTGCTCTGGTGAATTCACTTGCTGAAGAGAGAGGAAGTCTGCAAGATGTGCTCCATCACCTCGCCTGTTTTAGAAGAGAAAACTTGCTCTTTGAAATACCAGCCCAGCATTGTTGTAGCAGAACTGTTTCAACTGAGTTGCTGTTCTCATACAAACTGATGTCCTCTCATGATCTCCAAACCCTTTTCAACTTCTTTTCAGGAGACAGCACTGTCCACACACAGTTCCTGGTTCCATTGCTTTACTTTCAGCAGCAGTAATATGCACCCAGTTAACTCAGTTATCCAGTAATATTGCAGAACTTCCTTCTTTTCTCACTATTCACCACTCTCAACCTAATCTGTTGCCAGTGGGAATTTTACGCATTCTAGATCAACAAAGCCAGTGCACCAAGCACAAGCATCACTATTGTATTGCAAAACAAATGTTTGAAATGGAAGGAAAGAGAATTCAACCAAGGAGATCACCCAGCCACCAGGACTTTCTAGGACTATTGTGAGCCCCACTTAGTCCTTACATTCAGCTTTCTATAGCATGCTTAACTACTAATTAGAGAATGGGACTCACTTCTTTCCACAGCCCAGGAAAATTACACTTGTTTTTAATT